TTTGTCATAAGAGAAAGTCCAAATAAACCTCCACTTTGCCTAGCTCTGGCAACAAGTTCCAATGGAAAACATGGCCAAAAAGATGGAGGGGGGAAGAAAACAAACAAACAAGCAGAAAAAACACCCCACAACATCCTGCCAAAGCTCAATAAACACAAAAATGAAAAGAACATAACAAAAATCAAGGAAATCACCAGGTTTAAATTATAATTTAGTACAGTATCTCTTACAAATGATGAATTACTTTATGTAAATATTTGTCTTATTTATGAAGGGGTGGGCAGGGGACCACAGCTGCATTTTTTGTTTTCTGTTCAGTTTCTATTGTAGGCCAAATTGATGTGCCATGTTGACATGCATATTGATGTTCCCTTCTAGTGTCTTTGTGAGGAACACAGAGGAGTAAATGGGATTCGGCTTATGTGGGGTTTTTTTTAAAAAAAGTGTGCTTGATTTCTTTAATGATTAAATCTGAGCATTAGCTTTGGGTCTACAGATGACAGCAACAGATCTGTGTCTTTAAACACGGATCTATACCAGTTTAATAATAATAATAATAATAATAATAATAATAATAATAATAATAATAATAATAATTTATTTATTTATACCCCGCCCATCTGGCTGGGTTTCCCCAGCCACTCTGGGCGGCTCCTAACCAATGATTAAAAACACAATACAGCATTAAACATTAAAAACTTCCCTAAACAGGGCTGCCTTCAGATGTCTTTTAAAAGTAAGATAGTTGCTTATTTCCTTGACATCTGATGGGAGGGTGTTCTACAGGGCGGGCACCACTACCAAGAAGGCCCTCTGCCAGGTTCCCTGTAACCTTACTTCTCACAATGAGGGAACCACCAGAAGGCCCTCGGCGCTGGATCTCAGTGTCCGGGCTGAACGATGGGGGCAGAGATGCTCCTTCAGGTATCCAGGACCGAGGCAGTTTAGGGCTTTAAAGGTCAGCACCAACACTTTGAATTGTGCTCGGAAACGAACTGGAAGCCAATGTAGGTCTTTCAAGACCGGTGTTATATGGTATTGGTGGCTGCTCCCAGTCACCAGTCTAGCTGCCACATTCTGGATTAATTTCAGTTTCTGAGTTGCCTTCAAAGGTAGCCCCACGTAGAGCATAGTTTTATGCTTAACAGGTAGCAAAGATGCAATTTGAAGTGTGTGGGGGAAGGGTGGATATTCAGGGGCTCTTGCCCATTGCTTGTCTTTATGGCCCCTCCCTAGTCAGGTTTACCTCCAGTGTCAGTACCAGACAAGATAAAAAAATGACCTTGGGGGAGAGGCTGCAGGATGCCAATAGGAAGCAGTGGGCAGAGGTTGCAGCCCCTACATCATTGCTTTGTAAGTGTAGTGCCATTTTACATATGATTGGGTAGGCCTGCACATTAATCCAGGAAGTCTGTACTTCACAAATCTTAGCCCTATGAGTTTGATCACAGGATAGCAGAGATTTTTATATTTTGACCTCATATTTCCCTAGGGATAAGAGATGTGTAGCCAAAGGGTTGAGACTGAATCAAAGTATTTTAAATGCTAAGATTTAATGTTGAGTTTGCTGAGAGAGAGAAAAGCCTTTGGAAGAGCTTCATTGTTCTATCAAATCTCTTAAAGAAGTAATATTGCTAGCAAAGCAAAAATTACCATTTCTCTAAATCATGATGTATAAAGAATATGAATGTATACCAGATCAGAGATAAAGCATTGTCATAACTTTAATTCTTAACGTCTATCATGGAAGTGTGAACTTTAATTATATATTGATCATATCATATATACAGAGCTGGAAAAATCCCATGCAGTTTCTTTCTTTCTTTTTTTTAAAGGATTTAAAATGCTTTCATTATTCCCTACATAAACTGGTTCCTAAAATGTGATGCTACTTTCTAGGAATACTGATCATGCTTTCTAGAATGCATGATTTACAGTGCAATCCTGTATGCATCTAATCAGAAGTAAACCTCATTGAGTTCAATAGGACTTATTCCCAGGTAAATGGATACAGGATCATTGGCTTTCATAATGGTTCTAACTGCACATCCTTCTTATAGGCCAGGAAGGAAAAATCCTCATTAGCACCCTAATTCTTAGTACACTGTCTCATTCTTACTCCCACCAAAATGAATCTTGCCATTGACTTGCACATGGTCTTAGGAGTGGAGTACTAGTTGCCATAGCTCAAACTGGGTACTGTAAAATAAATTATTCCAAGATCAACAGTCCCCTCCATGGTGTATCCTGATAAACAAAAAATATACCTCTTTCTCCTCCCCCTTTCTCGCCTGGCTCTTGCTATAGTTGATTGGTGTATCCCATCCTTCCTTTTCACACAACGCCTGGTAGAAGGTGGCATTGACCAGAATGCTGCCTGTTTTGAAGGGAGAAGAGGCAGGAGTGGGGACTGTTGTGCTGAAAGACGTTAGCGGAGTACCCTTTTCTTGGTGCCGGTTCTTTTTCATGCTCAAATCCAGGGTGCCATTTTCATCCACTTCTATATCAGCTCCCTGATACACAAGAGGAAAGAGAGAAATGTTTAGAGTGTGAACAGTTTGCAGCAACAACATAATAAGACTTGCAGAGCTTTTAAGGGATAAGTGGAAATGCCTGCTTTTATTTAAATTTATCTAAATCTAAAAAACCAGCTTTTCGATTTATACCCGTTAATATTTAATTCTTAGGCGGACTTAAGAGATACCTCTATAATGCTCTTTCCATGTTTCTATGCTTAAACACAGTAAGCAGAATAAGATACTTCTTAAATGTAAACTATATCTACTAAATCTGAGGGGGGTTTTGGTTTTTTTTACAAAAAAGTTTAGCATTAAATCTCCTGAATCATTTCACTTTTACAGAGAACTATGATCCCCTTTCAGATAAAAGCATTAATTCACTGCTTAGCTCATCAACAGTATTATTATTACATTTCACCCACCCCCCACTCTCTCACAATATTGCAACATCTGTATCAGAGGGGGAGGGGAAACAAATGTACAAATCAGACCCAAGGGGAGCATTTGTCATGGGTCTTTTATATATCAGTGACAATCTCACTTTATCTCAAATGGAGCTTGAATTATAAAGAACTTTTAAAAGGTTTACTGTAACCAAGAGGTCCAGACTGTGTCCTTCCCTGAAATGCAGAGCTCCATTGTGGACTGAGATGCAAGTTGTTATTCTTCATGGTGGCCCTTATTCTGCCATAAGGCCAAACTCTGTCATGCCTCTGAATGTTATGTGTGAATCATATTTCTCATCTGCTGCACCATATTAAGAACATAAGAGCCTGCTGGATGAGGGCAGTGGACCATCTAGTCCAGCATCCTGCTCTTGCAGTGGCCAACCAGAGGCCTACACAAAGCCTGCAAGCAAGTTCTCAGTGCAAAAGCACACTCTTCTCATTTGTACAGAGAAATCTACCAGTTAAGTTAGTAGTTGTACAACAGTGTCTACACAGGTTAGAATGTCTGCCCCCTGCATCAGTCAAATGGCATGTGCCTCCCAGGACCTTATAGTACAGAGGAAGAACTGGGGCACTGCACTGAATTCTCTGGTTATGATTGATCAGGGCCAGCCCAAGACATTTTGGCACCTGAGGCAAACCACAAAATGGTGTCCCCCACCAAGGAAGAAAGGGTGAGTGAAAATCTACATCAGGAACACGGAGGCAATAAAGATCCACACTGGGAACAAGGGTAGGAGGAGACCAACAGATCTGGCCTGCAAGGGGTGTGCCACTGCAGCAACAGTAACAGCCAATGCATTCATTGGAGGCCAGATCTCCTGCCCCTGTGGATCCTGTCACTTGAGGTGGTCAACTCACTTTGCCTCATGACACAGTGCTTGATCAACAGTCAGGCCAAAGGGCTTCAGAAGAGGCAAGGATTCACTATGGCAATAGTTTCCATAAACCCTTGCCTGTTCATTTGTATTGTATCTGACAGAACAGCCAGAGAAGTTCAGTGGGGAAATCTATATCACACCTCCAAGAGGTCTGGACTAGAAGAAAAGGAAAGTTTTTCTTCTAACTGTGGAAGGGACGAGGAGGAGCAATTAACCAATGGAGAGATTCAGTAGACAGCCAGGTGCTGCTTAGAGATGGATGGGTGATATGTGGAATAGTGTTTCTGGTATGCATCTCCTTAAGAGCAGAACTATGCAGAACTCCAAAGCACTAGTTACATATCAGGCATACAATAATAATAAATAAAAATAATAATTTTTTATTTGTATCCCGCCCTCCCCGGCCAAAGCCAGGCTCAGTCATCTTGGATCAATTATTCCAGCTATTTCTTTAAAATGCGGAGTAAAATCATGCAGAGTAAAGTAACCAACACCTGGAAATGAAGGGTCAAGTGAGTCCATGTGCAGCCTATGGAATCCTATGGCTGTGCCTGGCCCTGGAGGTCTCATATTGTCTAACAGTATCTGGCCTAACACTTTACCTCACATGCCTGACAAACAACTCAGCTGGTTGGCTAGAAAGAGGAGGGAGTTTTGAACATTGCCCACAATCAAAAGGAGAGTCAAATGTTCCTCAAACTTTGTACAGCCAGCAAATATCTCAATGGCATCCAGTTGTGAATGTAGATGTCAGGTACAATGTTGATTGAAAGAAGGCCAACCACTTAACATAGACAATCCTGGTAGCAGCATCCAGTTAGCAGAACAATCCCTGAGAAAAATAACTCATTTTGACCTAACGTGCTCCAGCTGTAGCACTGTATGCTGCTTCTCAAAGCACTAGCCAGGAAATGTTATGCCTGCATGATGCTTAGACACAGGCCTAGAAAAAAAGATCAGTTCATCTCAGTTCCTTTTGAAAAGTTGAAAACAATCAGGCCAATTGCCTGAGAGAGTGCAAGTTAGAAACTCTTGCGTTTGTTCCTCTCGTATGACAAAGTCCACATTTTCAATCCCCCAGCTTAAAGAGAGATATGCTTTATTATACTTATGGGAAGTAAATACACTTCTAATATGTTCATACACTAAGATGCTTTCGTTATATCTTTTTGCCCCTTTTTAGTAAATAGTTTAATCTCCTGTGATAGTTTTAAGCCCCGACTTTGACAGTACAGCTTATCCTGGATAATAACTTAGTAACCACAACATCTTATGCCATCTGTATAATATCAAATACATTTTTATATCAGCATTAAAAAAAAAACATTACTTACAAAAATCCAAGATATTAACTGTATCACCGCCAGCTGAACTTCCCAGGACCTGAGCACATTGTTGCCATGATTACCCTTGTGTTTTTTTGGCTTCATAGCTGATATATAAGTACAGCCATGAAACAGAGCTACAAGTAATCAAGTTTAATGGCCACTGTAAAGTAAAATGCTAAACATTGTAGTTGCTGACATTTTTCATAGGGGGGAAAAAAAACTTGGGTTAAGTCTGCCTGACCAACATTCACATAAAATGCCAGACCTCTGTGACAGATGGCTTAGGAGAAGATGCCATGCAATGGGGGATGCAGTAGTTTTATAGTGCAAAAACCATAAATAGTGCAGATTTTCTGTCACTGACAAAATACCAGCAACTCAGAAGGCAGGAGACAACAGCAAACAAATTCCATAAAACAGTCAAAGTCTTCTCAAATTAAATCACAGATCCAAACATGTCAGGAAACACATCTGACAATTGGGAATCTGGCCTTATTTAGCAGCACCAAAGAGGCTTGGTTGGAAGACAATACACGTTTGTTGATGTGAATATGAAGATACTGGCGAGGGCTATCTTCTGATGTGCAAGGGAGTTGGGTTGGTGAGTATGTACCTAATTCAGATCAGAAAATACCCGGGTTGTGTAACAAGAGTGCAGATGGGGTTTAAGTGAGCTCACAGATGTACACAACAATCAAATACAGTCACAGAGAAATAGCCCCTTGTGCTCACAGGAGGATGGATCCCATGTTTACAGCATGGCCTTTTTATTCAGTCCAATATAAAACTGCTATAACTTTTGCTGCAGTCTCAACCAACGCCAGGTGGAAGACTATCAGATTCTCTCTCTCTCTCCCCCCACCCACATCCTGCCCTTACTAGTAGATCTTTCAGTGTTCTTTATTGTTTGAATGTTTTTAAATATCTGCATTGAAGTGATTATCAGCAGAGAGTAAAGAACATTTCTAAAGGATAGAATTGCCTGCTTTATACAGCTTATTTTCATCCTGTCAAAGTAAAGATGTGTTTACATTAGTGCTATGCTGAAAATACCTTCTGCTTTTTTAAAACATTCTCTACCAAATGACAAGAAAAGAAATTGCATTCAAAAAAATTCAAGGAGACATTGTTGGTGAAACTCTCCTGGGTGGGGTGCCAGATTTTTGTTACAATTGCTTTACTTCTGAGGTAGCTCAGAAATTTTGTGAGTGTCTTTTCATCCTGTGGCTAATTTATCCAGTGATCTGCATTCAGCAGCCTTCCTGGGTGCTTGCACTTCCTGAAAACCCCATAACATCCTTGACTGGGTTTCCCGTAAGCATGGGAAGATGGGAAGGCTGCCAACTGAGCATCTGTCAGCTGTTCATTATTATTTGTTAAGTGAAATCTGTTTACTTTTAAAGAAATCTGAATGGAAAGTTTTTTTCTAAGGCACAAGAGAAAACTTTCCATTTAAAAACACAATCAGTGAGAACTCTTAACTCAGACACAGAGTAGCCAGGCTTCCTGCCCTTCAGTTAAAACCCAAGGGAAAGTATCATAAGGTACCTCCCTCCCAATGGGGCTTTTTCAGAGCAGAAGATGTGGGCAGCCAAGGAGGCTGCTAGACACTGGAGAAATGTTTATTGGAAAGAAAACACACACACCACCTTCAGATGCCTGGACTCAATCCCAAAGCATCCTGCTCTTAAGCTGAAACTGTTCTTAACCTGAGGTACCACTTTAGCTAATGGGGCCTCCTGCTGCTGCTGCACTGCCAAAGCACGATTTCTGTTCTCATCCTGAAGCAAAGTTCTTAACCTGAAGCACTATTTCTGGGTTAGCGGAGTCTGTAACCTGAAGCGTATGTAACCTGAAGCATATGTAACCTGAGGTAGCACTGTATAGCGAACAAACAAACAAATATTAATTCTAAATATTCCTTTCTAATTCCTTTCAAGCAGGAGTGAAGCTCTGGCCTGCAGGCCAAATGTGGCCTACTTGGCCAACTCAGTCAGGACCCCTGAAAGTGCCCCAGGTTACCCCTCATGTACTCCTGCTTTAAAGACACCTGAGCCAATGCCCATCACCACAACTTGAAGCAGTAAGTTCAGTGACTTAATTATGTACTATGTAACGTATTTCAGTGATCCTCAGGAAGCAGTGCTCCCAGGGTTCTGACCAATGGGTCCAAAAACAATGGGACAACTGACAAGAACTTAGCAGTTCTTTTTATTTATTTTTTTAAAAAAACATTTTCTGTGGTTTTTATGGTTGTATGCAACTAAGTGATACTCAGAGTAGACCCACTGAAATCAATGGATTCGAGTGAGTGATAGTGGGTCTACTCTGAGTATCACTTAATTGGACATCACCATTAGTGTTTAATACAGTGGAATAACTTTCAAATTAGATTACCTTTCTTTTGATTCTGGCAGCACTGCTCTCTCTCTCTCTCTCTCTCTCTCTCTCTCTCTCTCACACACACACACACACACACAAACACACACAAATGCCCACATGCACACACACACAAAATTATCTTTGGGTACAGTTCTGATTCACTTGTCAACTTCACTATTACTAATACAAGGAAAGAGAGGAAAAACAAATATGTTTTTCATCCTAGTTTGTGCTGTTTTCTTTTCTGTTTTGTTTTCTTTCAAGGCACAGTATGTATATGTCATTTTGTCCAAACATGTTGGGAGGAAAACATGCAAACATTAAATAGAATTCTTGGCAAGAGGCAGCTCAGAGGAGAAAGACAGAATGTAAGGCTTGTTTCTTCCTCTTTGAGTGGCAGCCACATAAGCCATAAGATAAAACTGGGGGAAACTGTCTTGATGTGATTGATATGTGATACTATATGACATGACACAACAACTTGTATTAGAGTAGAAGTTGTGAATCTTAACAGCTCCAAAAATCATTTTGCCACATTGTTGGACAAGGCCACGTGCAACAGGTTAATCTGAAAGGTTTCACTTCAACCCTTGGTGCTTAAGGCTGAATCATTGGTAAATCTCTTATTTTTCTTTCAGTCACCCAAAAAATGAAACAAGAGAGATAGCTCTTGTTATTTAAATGCATCAGGATTGTCAAAACCAACTCTAATTTTTATTTTTAATTTTCCTGGTAATTAACTATATTTGCATGCAGTTAATTGTAGACAAATGTAGAATATCTGCAATCTGATTCAGTTATCCAAATTAATTTCTAGAGGTTTGTACACAATATATGAAACATCACATGAGATCTCTGAGCCTTTCCTAGATTCCACTATTGCTGCCATTGTATTTGGGGAAAATATATTTGTGATCATTTTATTTATGCTGCTAATTTTACCTTTCCCTTAAAGCATGTATTGCCTTAAAGCATTGTGTTTGGTGGATGTTCCTAGTATAAATGTGGATTGAATTTTGTATTGCAAAACCAGTGAATACAGCTATGAAGTGGTACCCTCCGGAAACAGATCCTTCCACATGGCATGTTTCTGGCAGGAATTCCCACCAAGTGAAAAGGTCAGGAGGAGTCACTAAAGTGCCCTTTGCACTTGGGTGAGAATTGCTGCAAGAAACATGCCCTCAAGGGAGGAAATGATTCTGAAACATGTTGCACCTGAAATAAATCTCATTTCTAGAGCCTGGATTTTTTTCCTTTTCCTTTTTTTGCCATTCAGATGTGTTTTCCCCTCAGATTTAATCAAAAGCTGGATTTTTTTAAAAAAAGAGAGAGAAAGAGACTGATGCCCTGTTCCAAAATGCATACTAATAAGGAAATAAAACTGACAGATAAGACAATCTGGAGACAATGAGGGATGCTTTTTGTCCTGATCCCTGGGGTTCGAATTTGAAAGCTGGCGAGCATCATTTCTACCCTTCCATCCATCCCATTCTCAAGACCCAGAATATATTTTCTTGCATTATGGTGAGCAGAATAGATAACATTTAAAGAGAGGATAGTTATAGGCAAGGCCAAAGAGAGGATATATTAATGCCAATTATGTTGCTGTTCCCTTTTTGTTTTATTTTAGTAGATATAAGTAGAGCTATGGTGGGCTTCAGGAAGAATAACTGGATGTTGGCAGGTTACTTCACAGTCTTTGTTTAAAAACTCATGACTCAATCTACCAAGAACTTTTCATTGACAAGTAACTCTGAAACAAATAGAATTTACACAAAAGCACTGCTGTTCATTCATGTTTACAGAGGAGATGTCACCAGTAGGGGTTTCTTTTCTGAGGGGCTGGGAGGCTCACATGGAAAAGCTGGATTGGAGAGGAGAGAAAGTTATACCCTTTCAATTTTATTTTATTTTTAAATCCAAACTAAATGAAGGCATTTCTTGAGAAGGTGGTGCGCAGGCTTGAAATGCATCTTTGCAATTAAAAGAAAAATAATGTGCAGTGTGAACAAAAAAACAAAGTGATCATCAAATTAAAACCAAACAAGTTTACAGTATTTGATTCACTTTATATTTTCAAACCTCACTAATTTGTTTTAGTTTAGGCACCTGCATCCATAGACTATTGCAGTATGCATTTCTCTGTTTAAAAATCTCAATTTCCTAAAAAGGAGCACTATCCAAACCAAATAAAAAGAATGTGTGTGATTTTGGCTACTTCGTCTCTTTGAGCTTTGCTTGCCTTCACTCTGGCCAGAAGCTAATTCTCATTCTTCTGTCAGATATTTTGTACCACTGGTTGTCATCATGCCCTGCTGGAAGTTTGGCAAAAGTGAAGGCTGGCAGAGGACAATGCCTGACGACCATTTTAATACAAAAAAAAATTATTTCTGGATGAAAATCACACCCACCCACCTCCTATATGCCCCAAATGCTGCCATGAGTGGTTACGATTGCCTTCCGCTTTTTTGGCAAACGCAAAACAGGTGTACAGCTGAAGAAGAAGAACAATAATAATCTTATGCCTGGTCCCTTTATTACCTTTCTTTGGCAAAAAAGGTCTGTTTCTAAGGTCAGCCAAAGGTAGGGGAAGCAATTTAATACAGCCTCTGGCACCAGTCTCCTTTTCAACAAGAGGGGGTGGGGGTGGCAAAGTAATATCTGCCATAGCCCAGCACTAGAAAATGTCTCCGGCCAATATCGTGAATAAAAGCCGTGGATGCAGAGATAGCCAGCAACACACCCCGGGCCCTAAAAATGGAGTTGTCTTGATAGGCAGGCTTTGAATGCAAGGATGTCACTATTGTTGGCTCCGAGAACCTGGCTGCTGCAACGGCAGTTGGGTGCGAGGGGGGCGGGGAGGAAAACCAGAAAATTCTACTGCACTGAAGACAGGCCTCAGATATCTGATCTGATTTTGCCCGTGCGATAAAAAGATGAGCTTTCCCACTAGGCAAAGCAGTCAGTTATGTGGAACAGGAGTCCCGCTGAAGAAGCATCTCTTCAGCCAGAATAACTGCTCTCAAGATCCTGTCGTTATGAGTCTGCTGCGGCATTACACAGTGGAAAGCTTGCTAAACAGACATCTCTCTGTGTCCCAGAGAACGTCTCCAAGTACAAAGGCAATGTTGTATGTGCCATTCTATAACACTTTTCATTCATCACCCATTTCCATGCCCTGCTCCCATCTATCTTTTCCACAAGATGGATTATGTGAGCTCCTGCCAACACCATGGTCCAGTCCCTAATGGTGCTATAAATGGTATCCAATGGTACTAAATACAGCTTTCAACAACAACGGGCCGAAGTTGTTTGTTTTCCAGGTTTCATAGCCAGAGGTGTTTCATACCCTGTGGAGCAAGGTTTTTCACAACACAAAAGTTACTTTTGTAACTCTTAATACACCCTGAAAATGAAACTTGATTACAATGAAATAGGCAGAGTTATCAATGGGCTACTCAAATGATCTTTCCCTATGTTCATCACGCATCACACCTTTTATTCACCTCTGTACAGTATTCAGTGGAATTATCAGTAACGAAAACAGCAAAACAGGGATCTGTGAAAGCCCCTCCTCTCATTTCTATTAATTTTAATAACCAGACTAATGCTGGTAACTTGCAGTAGTATTTGCACCATGCAAATAAGCCTCATTTCAACAGATTCTGCACCACTATCCCCTCAAAACCATTTCTGGAGTCAGAGTTCCCCCCTCTTTCTTCCCTTATTATTATTATAGTGACTTTCCACAACACAGTTTTTGCATTTCTTTTCTTCCGCTATCTCCCCCCACCCTCACCCTCCCATCTCTCTTCAAAAGAACATGCAAAAAGGGGCTGCTCTTTTTCCCTCTCTCTCTTTCGCTCTTGGAAGGGAAGGAAGGAATTGAATGCAATCACTAATATGAAAGACAGTTTATTCACACAGTTCAGTAGCTAGCACACCCTCCAGGTTCTTGGACTTGCCTACCTTGGCAGACAGACTCTGTGGTTTGTTGGAGAGGATCTCTGCTGCTTCCCTGCAGTGGGTGGAAAGGTTCAGGATTGCAGCAGCTGCTGCTATGTGGGTGTCTTCACTACATTGACCGTAGCCATAAGAGTTGGCATGGCAAGGGCTCTGTGTGTGGGCGCTAGCACTAGGCAGCCGATTAGAAAATTTCCCTGGATTTGAAAAATGCTTTGCTGTTGAAAAGAGATTTGATTAGAAATAGCTCGAGTGCAACTGTCCCCCTGTTAAAGATACTGGGGTTTTATGTATTATCATTTTATACAATAAAAACAGGCAAATAACACATTAAAGTAACTCTGTTTTTTACTGGGAGCTCTACCATTGCTATTAAGAAGCATCAGAATTGAATGCATTTAAAATATGAGATCATGAGATTAGTTAAGAAACCCAGAGTTGCTTTATAAATGTGCAGGTGCTCCCATTTTCAGCGAGAGCCTAAATTGTGGGTCCTTTCCTCGAGACTTAATCACTCCTTACACAAGAAATCTTTCACTTCCATCAAGTCCAGTGGTGGGTGAATAAAGAACAAACAATATTTGGCTCAGCTGCAATTTAAACACAAATGGGCTTGGAAACTTTATTAGCATAAACATGATGAATTCCACGGAACTCTGAGTTATAATATATAAAACCAAAGCAAAATTAATCGGCCTAAGCTATAACAATGCTGGGTTGTAGCCAAAAATGGTTTGCCTCAAATTTACTGCAATGTTTTGCTCTTCTTGTGAAATCAAGTTTGAATCTTAGAAGGCTGGAGCAGTTAAATAAAATATAATTAACAAATGTTAATTATAGTATACATAAGAAAATGAATATCGAGCATACTGTAAGTGTCAGCTATATTAAAAATCAAGAAAACAGAGCTAGGGTAAAATACAATTCGCCAACAGCGCGCCCCATGTCACCTCAGAAGGAAATGCAATTAATTCAGTGGCACTTCCTTCCAGGTTTAGGATTGTAGCCTGAGTTATACATGATTGTTAGTTGATGTAGATATATGTGTATTAGCTAGGAAAGTAGAATAAAAATAGCTTCTCTCACCAAACGTTGAGTTATTTTTGCTGTTCACCTTATCTACAGATGTCACTTTGCTTTTATTGATTTGACATTCATAATGCTATATGTTGGTTGATTTTGGCTGGATGCAACATCCCAGGCATGTTGCTGTTTTTAGGGTTGCCATATGTCTGGAATTTCCCAGACATACCCAGAATACTGCAGTCGGCAGCAGCGTCCGGGCAGAGATCATCAAATGTCCAGGAAAATCCAGGTGTATGGCAATCCATGTCGGCAGTGCTGTTTTTGCCGATTTTCCATAAAAATGGCTCAGAAAAGCTCAGAAACTTTGGCCCCAAGGCGGGGGAAAGGCTCTCAACAACTTTGCCAAAAAAACACCTCAACAACTTTTCTGTCCAGATTTTTACTGTTTGAAATATGGCAACCCTACTATTTTCCTTCACTGTGTTTCCCTTTCAGAAGGTATTCCCTTTCCCAGGACACCAAAGCATCTCTTTAAATTCCTTGGCTGCTATTTTATTATTATTATTATTATTATTATTATTATTAACAACAACAAATGGTTTAGAGATTAGGCGTATGAGCAATTTAAACAGAGAATCTTGAGCAGGGATGATGAACCTTCAGATATTGTTGGACTCCAACTCCCATGAGCCCCAGGCAGCTTTGCTGATGGTCAGAGATTATGGAAGCTGTAGTCCAGCAACATCTGGAGAGTTAGGTGCTCCCTAGCCCTGATCTAGGGGAAATGTTTCATGAAGAGCAGCAGTAGTGGCAGACTTTGGGCTCTCAAATTTCAGCAGTGCCCTGTGTGGCACTAACATCTGGCGCCCCCACCTCTCCTGCTCTGTTTTACAGCATTGGTCTGGCGTGCCCTGCAGCATGGCACCCGGTATGACTGCACCAGTCATGCCACCCTGAAACTGTCTCTGGAAGCAGTCTTTTCGTAAAGTGCCCATGCACTTTGTTGTCACAATGCCTATTGACTTCACACCATTTAAAAAGGGTGTCTTTCTGAAATGGCAATTTGGGTGTGCCCACAGCTCATGTGTAGTTGTCTCTGTGGACCCCAGCCATAGCTTTAAATTGCCAGATGATATTGCTTCAAAGCCTCTGGACTCAAAAATTATGTGAACAGCTATTTCTTAGGGGACTCCAAGAGCCATGTAGTAATGACATTTGTGCCAAGATTTTTGGCAGCCCAAGAAATGTCAGAAATATTGTCCAGGATCTTGTTTGCTGTTTCAATACAAATATATATCAGAGGTTCTCAGGAATAGTTTCTCCAGGCAGGATTTTCAGTTCAGAAGGGATTGACTTTGAATCGAGAAAACACAACCTACCAGCCCTATGTTTTGACAAGGAGTATGCATAAAATCCTTTAGGGACAGGATGACAGTTAAAGTAGACCCACTGAAATCAATGGGGCTTAAGAGTAGATTCATTGAAATAAATGATGACTAACTTAAGTATGAACAAGACTGGATCTAACCCATTGAGACAAATTGTGGTGTGCATAACCTGAAGTAGTTTCTAAATTCAGGTAAACCCTCAACCCAGCCATTTAAAAAAAAAAAAAGGTTTGGGGTTTCTTTGGAGACAGGATCTTGTGCAGGAAGGTGAGAGGCGGAAGAGGCAGTTTTGTCACACAGCTCTGCATGCAAATGCAAGTAGCAACTTGTGTGCCCGCTGTGAGTCAGGGGCCACTAGCAGAAGCAAAAAAGCAACCTGTCTCCTCTCATATCAGTACAAATATCACATCACCCATCACACTAGTGTGCCCCCAGTTATGCAGCTCAAACCTGAACAATAATTTGAAACTCATCAGTTTTTCTAAATAGATCATGAGCAGTGGTGGATGGTGACCATTGAGATTGGTGGGGCAGAAGGCAGGGAGACAAGCAGTAGGTGAATCTAAAGCTAATTTAAGACAGAGCTATTCCTTTACTAATTTTAAGTCCTGCAGCAGACTCTGGGGGCTACCTGAGGGCAGAGTGACGTTGCTGGGGCAGTGTCCCATTCACCCTAATGGACAAGCTACCACTGGTCATGAGTGTAATATCACGACACTCTTTTTAACTGACCAGTGGATCTTGTCCACTTGATTTTTGTGGGGTTATTTTCAATATAAATCATTATGAACAAGTGTCACAGATTTCAGGCAATAAGTAAATATCAAGTGCTACATTCCATATATAGGTTTGGTGCTGCATTTTCAAGTAAAAATAAATAAATACTGGACATCTCAGTCCATTAAGCAACTCATATATTACTTGTATTGGATGCACTGAAGTTTTTAATGTTTGATTTTATTATTATTATTATTATTATTATTATTATTATTATTATTCTGTTGGGAGCCATCCAGAGGGCTGGGGAAACCCAGCCAGATGAGTGGGGTATAAATAATAATAATAATAATAAGTAGTAGTAGTAGTAGTAGTAGTAGTAGTAAACTGTGCATGTGTGATTGGGACCAGCTATTCCTTTACTATAGTAAGGTGAGGAACCAAGAGCTCTCTATATGTTGTTAGACTTCAGCTCCAGTCTGCATGGCCAATGGTCAGGGATGATGGGAGTTGTAGTCCAGTAAAATATGGTTCCCATCACCCTACTATGGCATGTTTGGAAATGTTTTGGTCAACCAGTGCTGCTTAGCTATGCTAGGCTATGTCCAATTAAGGTTGGATTGCATTGGTTTTAGATGCTAATGTGCATATTTTTTATGCTTCCGAGAACGTTGTTATGTTATTATCCACCCTGAAACAGTTTTTTTTGCAATGAAAGGCAGAATATAAATTTTGGAAACACAATAAAATAATGTTTGTATATCCATGCAAGCTGATATAGAAATAGAGATTGAATTTGTCTGCCTTCCACTTACATTCAGGGAACTGTGGCGGGGTTTGTCCTTGCATAGCTGGCACCAATGTACGTTTGCCAAAGACTTGGGCATCAAAGCTAGCATAGTCAAATGGTACTTTCCCACATTTCTCTTGCTCTCTTATGTAGGAGGTTCTGGGGGATGGTGCTGGTTGAACAGATCGGCAGCTATACTGAGAAATCTCAAGTTGCTTCACCAAGTTTGTTCTGCAGAGACAATGAAGGGAACAATGAGAAAGAACAATAGTGAGTATGGTTTCAAAAATGCTGCAGTGTTGAGTGCTCCTGTTTAGTACTCCAGCTAGCCATCCTTGCTGTCCTTCAGGATGCTCCATCCCATTCCTCCTCCCACCTAGTTTTCCCATTTCCATTCCCCACAATAGTTAGCATTCTGTGGCAACTGAGCATGCACAGTCCTTACTGTGCTAGTTTTTACCCCATTTACTAACTGCATGCATAATGCATTTTGTACTCATGGAAAAGGAGTCACAAAGTTAGTTCTCAATGCAGGAAAAGACACTTGACCTGTACAGAGTAAAACAAAACACCAGAAATAGCTGGCTAAATTTGCACTGCAATCTGTTTACTTATCCCAAGTTTCCTGTGTCTTCCACAGGACACTGGATTTGATTACATTTTTTTAAAAAAAAGGCAAACAGGAATATTTCAGGGTATTTCACGTTCTAATGTTATAATGTAAGTGAGGCTTACCTGTGGACCTGATCATGGCACTGCCCTGTTTTGGGAGACTCATGCTGATTTTTTTCCTGAGACATTGCCATTTTTTCAGCTGCAGCAATTGGACAACCAGAAAGACTGTTTAAAAGAGATTTGCCACATATGAGGAGCCGTGAACAACCTGCATTTCTTCTCTCCAAAGATCTAGGATCTTTATAGTGCATTTTGGCAGCATAAGCAAAATACTCCCCACATGATTCTGTGGTTCATCTAGATCTCACTGTTCATCTGTGGTTCATCTAGATCTCACTGCTTATGGAAGTCCAACCATGTCTCTTTCCAGAGCTAACTCAGGCATCTCTTTCCTGCTGGGGCTTCCTCCCCCCTGCAATTTTTGAGGATCCCTTGATCGTTGCAGGTTTGGGCAACTCTTGAGCAAGATGTTCTCAATAGGAAGGTCTGCCCTTGTCCTCACTAGCGGCACTGCTGCCCATTCATTTGACCTCTCCCTCGGTGTCCAGTGATGCTGAATCTTAATACCTGCCCTGTTAGGCTGCCCTTGTTCATCCACTCATACTTCAGCCCTGGGCTGTGAACTCCTCACCTGCCCTTCACTACCTTCACCAGCAGTAAAATTGGCTGTGTAAATATTATATTCATAATATAATGCTCATTTCCGTATCTATTTCTGTTGGGGTGAAGTCAACCCAAGCCAAATGTATCAATGATTTTGGTGTGTTGGATAAAATCATGATGAATCATAACCTGAACATATGTTGAGGAAGTCAGAAGAAGTACATTTGGGGTTGAAGGGAATCAAATCAGATTGCTTTCACCACATAAAATTGGTTTTATCTGTGTTCCTTTGGAATTTGCTTTAATTCCTGTTGTTCTTAGTTATTAATTAAGGTGAAGCAACACAACTATTTAACTTATATACAAATATACAATTCAAAGCAAAAGTAAAAAATAATATCAGAGAGTGGGCAGCACACATTTATATAGATCTTCCCTGTCTCTTCGGGCAGAAGTGATGAACTGCCTGCCTGTTAGCCAAGTCTCCCTACCCTCACCCAAGCAATTTCATCTGCCCTCCAAGAACTCAGAAATGCAACAACGGCATCTGCAGCAAGTCCCTCTGCTGCACTGGGCTGGAAGGAGAGAGTTAAATGATGCCCTCTCTGCTCATCAAATCAATGATCTGTAGAGCAGAGGGCAAGATTTCCCCCTCAATCTTGGTACTGGACAAGACAGAGTTTCCTCTCTGACCAGCACTGTAATGGGGGGAACTAACCTTTGCTCTTCTTCTGATCTGCACAGATTGCTGGGAAGTGCGAGGGAACCCCTCTCTGAATGTGTGTGTGCTCTGATTGAGTATGTAATATGTGCATGCTCACTTTTTTAGACATACCCACACCCATGGCACATGTCCCCCAGAGAGCAATCACCCCCAAAAGGCTAGCCACCCTATCTCTAAGCATTGGTTTCAATAGCTTATGATCATTGAGTGAACCTATTTCTATTGCATTTATCCATAAACACTAATATTTTCAATACTGCACTAAAGTAAATTGGCACAATCCAGTCAAAGTTAAGCATGTTTAACACTCAAATATGCCACTGGGACCATTAAATATGTGCTCAACTCTCTACCACTGAAAACACTGAATCTAGAAGTGCTTCATTTTGGCTGGATTGTGTCCTAAAATTGTACACACTATACAGATACCACTTGTAGGGTATAAGGGATGGTTTTATGGGGGTAGGATTGCAGAAGCCAAGTACCTATGCTGCCATTTTGATATAACGTGAGTGACAAATATTAATTAAAATGTTCCCTTCTTGAACAGGTTAGTTCAGGGATGGGGCAACAGTAGACCTGCAGATGTTATTGGGTTGTAGTTCCCATCAACATTGAGCATTGGCATGCCAGTTGTGGATAGAGGGAAGTGGATTTCAACAACATCTGGAGTTGACTGTTTCTGCATCCCTGGCCTAGTTTATCACCAGTGGTAACAGACTAGGATTTACCTTCTGTGAGTGTTGCGGTTGCTGTTGACATGTCCTCTTCCTGTACACCCAGGAGTGGGGCACTTTAGAACATTTTCATGCATTGCAAGGACTAAAAAAAAGAAGAAAATAGTGACCCAAACACATATCATCATGACAGTGCAATTCCTCACTCAAAACTTGGAGACACTGTACAGAAGTTATGATCACATGGTTATAGTCATAAAAGAAAACTAAGAATTTTCTACATGAACAAGAAGTTCCAAATGTTTGAGCCATCATGGGCCTTCATGGAACTGGGAACTCCATACATCAGGGATAGCAACCCTGCTATTTTCTATATGGTCATGCATCTCTGGTGGAAGGGGAGATGGCAGGCGTCTCTGATCCTGCCAAGCTTGTTGGGTCCTTCAACCTACGGTACTTTAACCTTGGTGTCAACCTCCCACCACTGGCAGAGGAAGAGGAGTGCGGTGGGAGTGCACCGCCCCTGATAGCTCAATCCTGGTGGGGTGCCATCGCGGCTGCCCCCTGCCAACGCTTGGCACCATGCCTCTGCAGGCAGCGTGCCACGCCCCTAGGATGTGCACCACGCCCCCAGGATGCGTGCCAGCTCCGCCCCTGCCTGCTCTCTGCCCCCTGGTGCCGGAGCATGAAGCTCTGCCACTGCCTCCCATCATGTAAGCACATCAGAGGCTGGTGAGAACAACTCATGTCCCAGGATAAAATATAGGTGCACCCAGGCCTTTCCCCCCTAAAAAAATGTTTAGGGGTACTCTCATTTTGATTCAAGAAAACCACCATTTTATAGTTCAAATCAGGAAAAATAAATACAGTAAATGGACAAAAGTACAAAGATTCACAAAATGTTTAGGGGTACCCCTGTATCCCCCCAGAAAAAAAGCACTGGGTGCACCTTCTCACAACCCTCTCAAGCAGCAATATTTTACTTCAAAAGTCATTTCAGAAGTAAACTGCTGTCAGCCCTAGCAGTGCGGTGTGTGGTAAACTGCTTTGTTCACTTGATTGTGCCTGCTGCTCCTGAGATGAAGTACTGCCACAAATGACTACTGTTTGGGAAGGTAGGTGCTAGGGCACCCTGAGGAGCCAGGCTTTATGGCTGGGGCACATAACTCAGCCCATTAAAGCACCAAGGTTTTCCCCAGCTGATCTCCAAGTCACTGTTTCTTGATAGTAAGTTCCACTGATTTCAATGCAAGCAGACTGCACAAATGCATGCGCAGTTTATCTTTTTTTAAAAAGGGGGGAGGGTAATAGTGCCACTGGAATAACCTTAGATGGAAAATGTTTGTTTTGAACAGTGTTGCTTGATGCTGGTGCGGGAACACATTCAACAACAGTGACAGATCTAGGTTCTGTAAATGGAGTGTCAGGCACATTTGGCCCTCCAGATGTTGCTGGAATACGGCTCCCATCATGACTGATCACAGTTGATGGTAACTGAGGCTGATGGGAATTGTAGTTCAGCAACATCTGGAGGGCCAAAGGTTCCACATCCCTGCAGTAAATGTATATACACATGTGTGAGAAAGAGTGAGCAAGTAAGAGAGCTTAATGAGTTATACAGCTCTGAAAGGCTGTATGCAAGTATTTAAATCAGGAGTAGCCAACTTGGTACTCTCCAGAGGTTGTGGAGTACAGCTCCCATTAGCATTAGACAGCATGGCCAGGGATTATAGGACTTGCATTCCGAATTACTGGGAGGGCACGATGTTGGAAACCCCTAGTATGAATGAATGAATGAATGCCATGTAAGAAGCCATTATACAATTAATTGTACAATTGTATAATACAAATAATTGTATTATACATTATACAATTGAATATAAATATAGATGGGAAACGGCTATGTATTGTGAGTACTTATCTACTTTAAAAAAATTTCACTTATGATCTTTTTCTTTTATTTCTTTATTCTTTCTTTGTTCTTTTTTTCTTTTTTCTGATATCTTATCTTTCATTTCACTGCTTTATTGTGAATAGCATTTTATAGAGGTATAAATAACTGTAAATTTGAAAAGAGACAAAATATTCTCTAATTTTTTTCCCTTGGTTAGATGTATTTTCTTTTTCTTTTGTATTTTCTTTTGTTGTGAATATGTATGTTTTCTAATTTGTAATTAATAAAAATATTAATAATAAAAAAGAAGCCATTGTGACTTCACTCTCAGCCAAGTAGCTGTATAAGTTCACAAAGCACTACAGCCATGCTACTAAGAGGCCAGTGGATGGAAAGAGATCAAGAATGCAGAAATGACCACAGTCCTCAAGGAATCACACACAGTTTTTGGCTGCAAATTATAAAGAAATTGTACTTACTTTCAAGTGGCACTCTAACTTTATGTGGACAACCTGAAAGACTGCGGTGGTGTGGATACAGTCCCGTCACATGCCCTGTGCCATCACATCCTGGAATGGGACATTTGGTCTCTCTCTTTTCAGGCCTAGGCAAATCTGCAGAAAATAGCAATGAAGTCTTGTCACCTAGATGGAACATTGCGCTCTCTCTCTCTCTCTCTGTGTGTGTGTGTGTAGAGGGAGAGAATGGTTTTAAGAGGCAGCGGTTCTCTGTCAAGGTGGGAGAGAATGGTTTTAAGAGGCAGCGGTTCTCTGTCAAGGTGCTAAGTACACTGAAATCCTACACACATTTTAACATTCTTAAATCAATTATTTTAAGCAAATTGTTTAAACTGAAGGTTTTGGAATGGCAAATATATTTGAGTCATGAGAAAGAAAATTGGAACCATCCATGAATAAATAAATAATAATAAAATCTTTGGAGAGCCTTGAATATTAAAAGATTTTCCAGGGGCAGGTATCAGAAAACAAACTGTTCCTGGTAAATTGGGACAGCCGAAAAAATGTGAGCTAAGGTTGTCACATATTGTCTATGTTGATGAGTAGTTGTATTTTCTCCTTATATGTTGTATAGCTATTTCCTTATATATCTAATCCACATAACAAAAACAAACTATAACAAACTTAAGCACAGTGTATCCATTTGCAATCAGGGCAACTGTGATATTTGCAAGTAGCTTGCAAATAGATGTGTTTATAGACAAAGCCACAAGGAAAGGTTGTGTCTGTGTTTCTTAAGTTTTTCTCTTTGTAGCTTCCCTGATGTGTTGCTTCCCACCTAGTTTAGCCAGTAACTCATTTTCAACCATTCTTCATGCTCTTGCCTTCATAACACTTTATGGAAAAAAGACCATCAGATAAAGCATCATCAAGGGCTCAACCTTCTTGAAGAAAGCCCATAATTATTTTTCAAGGCTTCCAGGGACTTTTCTAACCTCAGTCCAATGAAGGGGATATATCTCTCAAGAGTCTTGCTGTATGTTACTGGCTCTCATCTTTATCCTTCACATCCTATAACCCAGCAGCTTTGGCTTCACCTAATGTTCAAGACTGGACACAGTGGGATCTTCCTGTGCTCATCCTATTTCCAGGTCATCAATGCCATTACTAGCCACTGCAGCACATAGCCAAACCAGGAGAGTCTATGGGTAACTCAGCATCAGAGAATAAACACCCTCCCTGATGCTGATCACACCATTGGTTTAAGAAGGCTCATACTGCACAAGAAAGCATGGCAGCAGGGGATAAGAAGACATTGGCTGCCGGAAAAACAGAGAAATAATAGGAGAACTGGCTATGGAATGGGGAGAGGAAGAGAATTGGAAATCAGAAATGTTCAACAGGACCTATGTGGCCACATGGGAACCTGCTATTCTCAATAGGGGGTTATTTACTCTTATTATACATAGACCTGCATCACCTGTTAAGTTATGTAAAGCTATCTAAATATAATATATAGAAATAATACAATATGAGATATTTATTTTGTAATATGTTGCACTGCATTTAATTAAGTACATCCATTCATTGGCTGGGTTTTCCCTAAAGTATCCTCCCTTTACTTAACAGTTTGGTATTCTAAATACTGAGGCATCATTGTTAAGCTAAGATCAATATAGTGGTGAGTATTAAAGTCTAACTAGGAACACTTTGAAATTCATTTTATCTGCAAATGACTCTGGCTACTAGGAGCTGAATTCATTCCATTGCACCCAGTACAAATCTACGGTATCATATGTTTCTATTTATTTATTTATTAAATTTCTACACCACCTTTCATTTGAGAATCACAGGGTGGTTTACAATAATACATAACATAATAACAAGCAAAAACTGTACCCCTCCCCTCGGTATAAAAGGCCATAGTTTGTTTAATTAATTAGGATTGTTTTTGCCTGGTACCTAATGATACATAATGAAGGTGTCAGGCAAGCCTCCCTGGGGAGAGCATTCCACAAATGGGGAGAAACCACAGAAAATGCCTGTTCCTTTGTTGCCACCCTCTGGACCTCCTGTGGAGGAGACACACAGAGAAGGGCCTGAGATGGTGATCGTGATCACAGTCAGTTCATATGAGGAGAGGTGGTCCTTGAATTATTGTGGCTCTGAGTTGTTTAAGGCTTTATAGGTCAAAGCCAGCACTTTGAATTGGGCCTGGAAAGTAATTGGTAGCCAGTGCAGTTGCGCCAAGATTGGTATTCTATGCTCAAACCATTTTGCCCTAGTGAGCAACCTGGCTGCTGAATTCTGCACCAGCTGAACTTTCCAAACTATCTTCAAAGGCAGTGCCATGTATAGCACATTGCAGTTCTTGGATGTGTATATGAAACATTGTATGGAAATTTTGCTAACTCTCACAGTGTTTTCAGACCACAGCAGGAGCACAAACACGTAGGGTTTTTGGGTAACTGCATACCATAATTTTTATATTATTCTGTCAGTCTGAACAACCTTATACATTCCTCACTGAACTACATACTCCAGTGGTTTCTCACTTGGGAATTGCTGTCTCCTGGCAGTGACATCACCGCAGTGTACTAAATGGTGAGCTACCAAAGCAGGGTAGCAGTAAGGTCAGGGCAGTTTGGGAACAGCAATGGAAGTGCCAGATTGGTTTTGCCCCTCTGCCCTACCAATATACTATGCTGGAATTCAATTG